GCTATGTAATACCTTGCTTATTTGACTGCATTCGCAAGTGGTGGCCTTTTAGTGGCTATCTTGCTCCTTTCTAGTGGGTTAGTTCTCTACTGACAACTAAGGAATCTTGGGACTCCACGACATCACTGCCGAATGGTATTTAATGGAACTAAAGGTCAACCCTTGTGGCCACTCCCAACAACTCACTGACAAAACGGTGATGTTGACTGTAATACTAAATGCGACTGTCGGTCACTTTGGCTTTTGCTGAGTGGGCTGACCTCCAGAAAAATTCAAATTTTAGTATCTTCCACTTCTCTCTAAACGTAAGTACTCAACTCTCCCATAATGCCTTCGAATACTCAAAGGTGAGTGCCAGTGAATTGCATTAAAGTTGTTGTTTTACTCTACCTTGCAGGTCAGAAACAGAGTATAAAGGCGTAAGTCGTACTAACGCCACTTGCGCTTTCATGTGAGTCCAATCTCTCGCCCCGTTTTTATATCATTGCTTCAGCAACTAGGAAAATTGGCTTCGCTTATGCAATACGAAGCCCTGAGACTTTGGAACACAGTTGTTTGTCTCTCTATAAACTGACTTTACTTTGGAAGGGGCGGCCTTTAACTCTTTCTTACGCAATTATTGGTGCATTTGCCGGAAAAAAAATAACAACGAAGATATGTTGTATAATTTGCAAAGGCTTTCATTTAAAGCTGGTGGTTTTGGTTAAGCTGTACTTTAAGAATGCAACGTCCCGGGACTTCCCATTAGGTAGGATTGAATACTCGCACTCGGAGAGAAGGAAAGAAGCCAGGCCTTACCAAGCAATGCGTGATTATTATCCAAAACGATCATCAGTCGCTTACATAGTAAAAAAGGCAATGTTTCGCCAAGAATGTGTGTTAGTGCGACACTCAACTCATCGTCGTTATAACAGAAGATTCCGATGCTTTGGTCAACATATTTTGTGATTTTAATTTGTAAAAGTTGCGTAACGAGGTGCGGCATATACTTCGTCAAAACATTGCTAAGATTTTTATTAGCCGGAATATATCGATGGCACTTTGTGTTAACTGGACTTAAGGTTTGGACTACTCAACATGTACTCAAACAACACAACCTTAAAGCATGCTAACAATTGGACGTTGACGTAGTCTATCTCAGGTGACCCAGATGTTCAGTTTTGATGTAACAGTAATCTGTCCTTGTCAAATTCGCCTAAATCCTTGGTTGAATGACCTGTAGATATTCGTTGCTAGGCCTCCTAATTTGGCGATCAAATGGTTCTTTCTGTTTGCCATGGAAGTCTTTGTTGTTTTTTTCTCAAGGTTGATGCTAGAATGATGCGTGGTTTGTTCAAGATTGTTGTCGTTTTAGATGCTTTATGAGAGAAATACAGTTCCGGACAACTGGGTTGCGGCTGATTTTTTAATGCGCTTACAAAGGAATGGTTAGTTTTTCTGAGTCATGTTATTTTTAGTCAATTTGCAAGTATTTGACCTGTCAACTATTATGCTTTATTCGGGGCTAGTCTTTCAACAACTATGTAGGTATGGCTTTCATTTTTTTTCGCACTTTAAAAGCATTTGCATCTTTGTAACTTTCTTTGTCTTTCTGTTGTGGGAACGTGTAACTCCGTTATACCTATCCATTGTCATTCTTCTGGTATCTGTGTTTACCTTCATGCTGTGGTTCTTTTGGTCCTTATCGTCAGATGAACGGAATATTAAAGTCCGTAAGTCAGATAGGTCTCGTTTTTTAACTTATTTTTGCTGCGACCTGTCTAAACCCGATCATGTTTTAGTCTCAACTCCTTTGCGCACAGTTCTTATAATCCTGGTCTTTAGTTCGGCTTTGGCTCCTGTTCTACATTCTCTTCTGGATACTGTCTCGACGGATACAATTTATGCGATGACCGCCATATTTCTATTTTTGAATTTCGTTTCACTTCCTTACGCCAGCGGAATGCGTCCTTCTCGAGGCGATGGTACCGCTGACTCAAATATTGTCTCTGTGGCGACAGGGTTTCTCGCTTCACTTTGCATGGCTAGTCGCCTACCAGGGCCTAAAGAAACGCTTCTCTTGATTATTTCTGCCACTCTTGTTTTCGCTACGTGGCCTACTATTCGTCATCGCATACAGGTTATTTTAGGACCCTTGTTATCAATTACCGACATTCAAATGGGGTAAACTCTGCATTTGGCGTCAAGGCTTTAATGCAAAGTACTTCTATGAGTTATGCTGTGGTTTCAACTCGTTTTTAAATTCCACAAATTGATTTGTTTTAGGTCCTCAAGGGCGTAAAGAGTCGACTTAGCTTTACTCTAGGAATGGGTGTGACTGCAGCTTTGAGTCTTCTACCTTTTTTCCTTGATGACGGGATTGAATCCGTCTACAAAGGTCTCATTGCAGTTGCAACCCTTTTGTCAGCAGTCCTTATCAATTTCGCTTTACCTCTTATCTTCTACGAGATGCAGTCCACCAAGTCGTGAGTTAGTGTATTCATATCATCATGGTTCTGCTATTACCTACTATCAAAAACTGTGGTGAGGTTGCACAGTTAGATACCTATCCACTTCTACTGCTACCGTTGACCATGCTTTGTGAATCTAACCTTCATGACAATGGGGTTTTCAACTACACTGAGCATGATCGTGTCCTTGCTTAACAGGCTCTTAATTTCTTTCACATTTTTCTTTGTAGTAACATAAATGGTCCATGGGATGAGGCAGTTATTGAACACTGATGTTTTACGTCAGTTTTTTCTCACAAAACTCCCATTTGATTTCCAGCAAACCGTTTTGACAACCGACACGTTCCACCGAAATTGGAGCAACCAGCCAATCAACCCATTCTTTTGAGCTCAAGTTCTGTTAGCGTCCCACTATCACATTCAAAACACTTCTATATCGATGGAGTCATTTGAGCCACGAATGATCTTGTCCACTCTTTGCACATCTTGTTAAGTTTGTGCAATCGTTCACATGAGCGTTAAAATGCGGTCTGAAGTAGCTTTTATCTGATGGCAAAGACCTGAAGGTGATGCGGCTTGAAGAAGTGAGTCCATAAGCCCTTGTTGCCTATGCTCTCATTATTGCGTACGTTCTGAGGGTGTCGGTTTTTAGTTAGGATGGATAAGAAGCCTTGAGTATGCGTCTTTGAAAACTTCAAAGTTTTCAAGTCGATATTGCTGAATCTGACTAATTTGAAACATTTCAAGGGTAACTCGTACGATATCCCATAGGAGATACGTAGTAGTATGAGAGGAGCCGATGAGCTTCCATCACACGCTCCAATTGCCCTCAACTTCACAAATTGGGTTGATAAAAGTGCTTTTATTTTAATGCTTGGTAAACTGTTGTGCACATTTTTGGTTTTCAACAATATGAACAACTGAGAATGGAATGCGGTATGGTAAGCAGCAGAAAGCACTTTCATTTGTCTGGTGCATAGAATTGGAGATAGAAACTTATGGGCTTGAAGGTGTAACG